TGGGCCTTCAAGACAGTTACGAGTAGTAGGGTCACAGTCACACCAGAAGCCGCAACTTTTGCGAGGAGCAGCGGAGGCGGTATTGGAGGCAACGACCAGGTCAGAGTCCAGTTTGGAGGCACCACTGAAGATGAGGAGAAGGATTCGGTTGCAGGCGATTAACTATAGTATTTCAGATCGCTGAAGGAAGGTGCTAGGCACCGAAATATTCGAAGGAAGTATTAGTAACAAAAAATTTTTTGCAAGAACTTTTGGATTCTTTTGAGTCTTTTGAGTTTTTTGCAATAAATTTTTGGCGCCTCTTTACGTGTTTCATGTTCAGATTTCAATGAGGCTCCGGGACAGCACCATATTAAGATATAACTTTCTTAATACTCATCGGATTTAATCGAAATAAGCACCGTTCGAATCAGCACACTTTTGCCAATGTGACACCAGTCGATAAATCCCATCAAAGAAAAAAACTGGGTGGTCGAGAATCCACGAAGGCTTTTTTGCCTGGTCCTGATTGATGAAGTATTTTCCAGCAAGGAAGTTCTGAAAATGTTTGAAAAGGTGATAGTCGGTTGGCGAAAGGTCTGGAGAATATGGCGGGTGAGGTAGAACTTCAACCCCCAATTCGTTCAATTTATGGATAGTGATTTGTGAAACGTGTGGGCGGGCGTTGTCATGCAAAAGAATCGGACCCTTTCTGTTGACAAGTGCTGCAGCTGACGCAATTTTCGGTACATTTCGTCTTCACAGTAGGACTCTGCTGTGATGGTTTGGCCTGGTGACAAAAAGTTATAGTGGATGTGATGGCTTACATCAGAGATCCTCGACCCGATCTCGTCTGGCGGAGCCACCCACGCCGACTCGCTGGATTTAGGCCACCCTGGCACTGTGTATTGGTATAATCGGATTAGAAACTATGGGTGTGGCAGTTGCGTGTGCTTAGAATTAGGACTGTTCTCCATTGTTGCACTGTTCGTCTTCAGCGCATGGTCTGGTGTGGTTAAGTTTTCCTTTCCGCTTGGTGTTGTTGTCAAAGCTGCCCGCGTTTCTTGTCGTTTGGGATTCTAAAAAAACAAGATTGTTCTGATAATGATTTTTCAGAATGTCCAAGCAGAAACATTAGTCAAAGTCATAACAGACTCTCTCACTGCCTATAGCGCTGACGCGAGGAACCTCTTGTCGGAATTTCTTCAACCTATTGTCTTCGCATATAATTGTAGCATTAATACTACCACAGGTTATAGTCCGTTTTATGTGATCCA